TGAATGGGTTTAAATAGTGGTGAAAAAGAAAAGTCAGATATTGTTGTTAACCTTTTGTGGCTTGTTTCTGGCTTGATCTGTTGCTCCCCTTGAGAGTCTTGCTCTTATTCTTAGAAAACAAAATGTTAAAGACTCAGGAGCAAAACAAACAGAATATTATATTGTAGAACAGGGACTGTGAAAGCTCTTTGTGCTGACGATTAATTTCACATGTAAACACTTTCATTTTGTTGCCAGCGAGGAGATTTTCATTTCCTTTCTCAGCCTAGTTGAAGTCTAGAAATAAATTCCACAGCTGTCAGGTTCCCACATAGTAATCAGCAGCCTCTCGTGGTGGCTTTACGAGGAGTAGAACCGGTTTGGAGGATTCCACTAGTAAAGTCTACACAGCATGTTTCAGGCACTCCAAGTCATACAGTAAAGAACTATCAACCTTTGGCTTGCCTGACACATGGTGTTGGATAGTCACTTAATCTCCTGCAGATTCTGAAGCAGACTTGGACATTTTCTGTGCCTATCAGAGGAACATGCACGTTAGTGGAACTAATACCAGTGAGTCTGGTCAAGTTGTGAGCTCTTCTTGTGTTCCTTGTGAAACACAGTGTCGCCCCCTCCCCACCTCTGTTTCTTCATATTAGGGACTTGTCAGATCATGGAAACTGAGAGTGTCGGCAGGCATTATAGTAGAGCAGAGCCACATAAGTCAACCTTTCCTTTCTGACAGGAAGACATCTTTGGCTTTTGTGCATAATAGTCAGATAGTCATAATGCCTGTGCTCTAATCACTCATTATTATAACATCCAGTGCACTCACACGTGTGTGTATCTGTGTGTGTGTGTGTATGTGTGTGTTGTGTGTAAGTTAGGTCTGTGCACATTTCTTTTAATTCCCAAGCCAGAGCACCTTGTCTGACAGTTTAGGCACTAGTTCTTTTATTCTGCTTTCTGAAGTGTGCAGAGATTGCATCCAGCGTTTGAATGGCCCAGTGATCTTTATGCTTTGCTTTTTGTCTTCCAGTGACAATAGATATCTCCCCGTGTGCTTGCCCTTGAAGAAGGATTCTCTGGGTTATGCAGGCCTCTAAGATTGGGTCCCTAGAGAGAGAGAGCACAGTGCATCATCTTTTGGCACCATCTAATCCTTGATGTACTACTGCTTAGAGAAAAATTATCCCTGTCGTTCATTTATGGTTTCAGTTTACATTTGGCCCACATGTGACCAGCGCTTGGGACCCAAGTGGCTTTTGAGGAAGATTCTTAATAGTGCCACTTCAAAGGGTATTTGCTAAAAAGAAATATATGTCTATGTACATAATTTCTTCTTAAATTACAAGACTAGGTTTCATAACCTCCTGGCCAATTAAGCATAGTACAAATTGTATATATGCAGGCATGCACTATTTAATTGGCAGTGAAATTATGAAATGTACCCCTTTGCTATACAACGAATTAACTGTGCAGGTTGGGCACCTACTACCCTAATCTGTTTTCTTAATTGCAAGGAGTGGGCATTCTATCTTTTTAAGTTGTTAGAAAGGCCATGTGTGCACATTCTTGAAACACAAAGAAACCCTCCAAGGCTAACAAATAACACTACAGTTATGGCCATTAACAACCCAGCCATGCAACATGTCTTTATTTCAAATTTCTTTGAAGGTATGGTAAGCACCCAAGTAAGTAGCATTTATTATGTGGGGTGTTTCTGCTCTGGATAAAGATGAACACAGACTTTTGATGGTCATTATCTCAGAACAGTCTTCTGAAAGAAATATCAGTAAAAGCAGTGAACAAATAAGGGGAAATAAAATTTAGAAGTTGGTCATCGATGCAGCTCAGATTCTGCTGCAGAATAAGGGAAATGGTGGGAAACACAGCAAGGAGCATCTCCACTGAGTCCAAATGTGGACCACAATGCTACTGGAAGATAAACAGCGTATTTTGAAATGAAAAGCTTGAAGGAATTTAAGCAGAAATCTAGGTTGCCTTTTTTTTGAACCTTGGAGGACTGGTCTCTGATTTTTTCCCACATTTTATTTTACTTTTTGATTTGGGATACTGGTTGTTAGCTACAATGTACATCAAATACCAAATTACTATCAGGCTAATTGAAGTTATTTTTATTTTGCACTGGTCAGAAAGTGAAACAAGTCTGCAAAGAAAGACAGAAGAAAGGAGTGAGGGATAAAAGGAAAGAAAGGAGGGAGGGAGGGAAGGAGGGAGGGAAGGGAAGGGCAGGAAGAAATGAACATTTTATTTTTAACTTCTCTCCTACAAAATAGTATTAAAACTTAAGTACAAACAAATATGTTGTAGAGAACAAGCAAAAAATTGTAAATTTTCATCATAAGCCATCTTAGAATTTATGTAGTAGATTTAAATATATAAAGGATCCTTGAAAACAACATGTTTTTTATGTTAGTGATTTAATCGGATGTATTTCTTCCTGTTCTGCTGCTTCTAACCTAATCATCACTCAGATAAATGCAGTATTGTAAGGAAAGATACGTTAATTGATGTGCTCAATGACAACTGTAAATGCCCTTTTCAGGAATTCAATCAGAATCTAAAACTACATTTTCCCTTGCCCTCTGCATTCTATGTAAGCACTCCTATTTTCTTAGTTGTTGAAGACACACAGCTTGTATCCCTGGGTCCCTAGCTGAATTCTAAGAGAATAGTATTTTAGAAAATTTGAGGGAATATTCTGTTTATTTTTCTACGTGGAACATGCCTTTGAAAGAATCAACACTCCTCTTGTGGAGATCAAGGAACACTTTTGCTCACTTGTTTAATGAAATAATTCTCAGGTGTTTTCTCATGCAACATTGTGTTGTTGAGACATGGAGAACTACAGTGGCCATGGAGGTATGAGCACCTTGGAGCACACTATCCCCTCAACTTGTACAGTAAATGCCTTCCCAGAACTTCTCACTGCCACTTCTCTATTGCCAACACTTCTGGGGATTATGCTGCATGTTGGGTTTGCTTGTGGCTTATTCTGTTGATGCAGGTTCTAGCACCGGTAGGATGCTAAATGCTAAAGCACGTGACTGTTAAAATGCAGTATCCCAGAGAAGCAAAGAGCACACGTGGCACTTCTTGACTTTGCTTTTGGTTTCGAAAGAAACTTTATTTCTCACTAGTGTTTGTAGTACTTTGAAATTGTAGTAGTAAGGTTGAAAAGTGTTTATGAAGGTAAGTTTATATTAAGTTCTTAATTTGGGGTCAAATTAAGGATGTAATCCAAACTGGGATTTTATGTGCTCTGACTTTGTTACATGCCTTGAAAAAAAAGCTTATGTATTTTAGATTATGGTTTTGTTCACTCCTTACTGGCTAAAGAGAGCATCAAGAGTGACTGCTTGTCCCAAACAAGGCAGGTGGTATAATTCTCCAAGAAGGAGCTGGGCAGAGGAAGGGAAATCTGTAGAAGAGGAAGGTGGGTTAGGTTTGAGGGGACCACATGGCTCAGAAAGCAAACCTGGTCTGAAGGGAGGAAATGTCTCCACTTCTTACAGGATGAGCTCCCAAGTGCTTATGAGCGAAAAGTGGGTGGTAGCCATGGACTGGTGTGATTTTGGGAGAGGGATGATAGGGATAGTGTTAGACCAGCAGGGTAGTGGAAAGAAGATAGGTTAGAAGCTAGGAATCCTATTTGAGTCCCAGTCCTACCCCATGTTGTGTTCCATTGGGCAAATGGGTTTGACCTTTCTGAGTTTCAGTTTCCTCATCTATGTAATTAAAATAATTCCTATTCATAGGCCTGATGCCAGGATGAATTAAATAGTGTTCTCAAAATTACTTTGTAAGCTAAGATGTACTATACACATTATTAATACCAAAGATAATTACTGTTATGTCATCCCAAAGAATCAACAGAGCCATCAACATTTCCTGTTTCAGACCCCCTAACCAACGGAATTGATTGAGACATACAAAATATGAGTAGAACTTCCAAAACTAAAAATTCCATCTAAGTCTATTTGTTCTTCCATTAATATAGTAGTGATTCTTAATTGTTACTTATTATATATGAGGCTTATTTACAAAATTCGGATTCTCAGATCTGGAAGGAGCCTTATCTAATTTCGTTTCCTTTCTTCAGGCGGTGCTGAATCAAATGTGAATTAGCTCTGACAGATGGCTCTTGGATTCTGTTTCTAAATTTTTAAAAGAAGATTTCACAGTTTTACTCTCTAAATTCTTTTAGTAATTTAACAGCGCTTGTGCCAAGTTCTTCCTTATAGCTGACCTAAATCTGCAGTTTGTAATTTTAAGTCTCCCCCACCTCCTGTCTTCACTGGAGGTAGAGAACAGCTGGTCAGCAACCTTATGCTAATAACCCTTTGTATATTTAAAGAAGAGTTACTCAGCTTGCCCCCTCCCTCCCTCCCACCAGCCAGAATTCATCAGCTCCGATTATCTGAATCATTCATGGCAAGGCTGCCCAGCTCCCTGCCTCACCCTCAGATGCTTGGCTGCTTCAGGGAGTCTGATGCAGTGTGCTGAGTGACCACGTGGACCTGGAGAGACCCTAGCACACTTCCTTCCTTCCTCCTTTGCTTTGTGTATATTCTTTACTCCTTTGATAAATTCAGAATATATCCTAGCATTGTTTCATGAGTATCTGAAATTACGTTATAAACATGGAGTTTTGCAAGGATACTCTTGGAATGTAAGATGCTTTGAAAGCTCTCCCTGGTGACTTAGCACACCTTGCCAGACATACCATTAAACTGCCTCTTTGCCTGCTAAAGATAACATTGATTGATATCTCTGCTCTGTTGGACTCAATCTTGGAAGACATTGAGCTCAAACTCTCCTGAGTGCAGTGCATATTCACTACCCTTCTGCAAGCGTAATGTGTTTCCTCAGTGCTCTAAGCAGCACCAGGGAAATGAGTGATCATTGAGAAAAACTGAGCTTACTAAACTGATCTCATGTGGTTTCAGAGTGGATCTTGTTTATAATTTGAATTATGTGCTTTTATGTTTCCATAGGTTTACTACCCAGAACTCTTGGTCTGGGTCAGTCAAGAACCATTTCCAAACAAGGAAATGGAGGGAAGTCTATCTAAGGTAAGATCCCTGCACTTAGAAGCATAAAAATACATAAGCAAATAACCAGGTTTATTTCATCTTCATTTTAACATCCACTATATGTTCCCATAACAATTCACTCATATGATGATATGCTGACCTTGGAAATGACATAGATCTAAAAGCATAACCTCAAGCCGGGCTTGGTGGTGCATACCTATAGTCCCAGCACTCCACAGACTGAGGCAGGAAGATTGCTGCAAGTTTGAGGCTACCCTGCACTACATCATGAGTACCCTGTCTCAAAACAAACAAACAACAACACAAAGAACAAAAAAACCCAGCAAAGTTCCACGACCTAAGGTCACACTCATAGTATATTCCTTTTGTGACAAATAAATCAAAAACAAATTTTCATTTAAGACCCATGGAATCAGTTGATCAAGTGTGCATTCTAAAGATTTTTAAATCTGTTGCATTTCTTAGACAAATATGAAAGACAACCTACAAACAAAAACAGGAAGGTAGGTTACAATTGGGTGATAGGGTTTCTTAAAAGTATGATGTGTTGACAGTTTTGTCTGCTGATCTTGCCTGAATACCTGGGATTACCCATAAAACAAAATGGGAAAATATAAAAAAACTTATGTTTTCTTTCTCCTAGATTTTAGGTCTAGGAAACGTGTAATACCAATATGTTTTTTTTGTGATTCTCTCCTTTAAAGAATTTTTTTAAGGGCCTAGAGAGATGGCTCAGTGGTTAAAAGCACTGGCTGCTCTTGCAAAGGACCAGGGTTCAATCCCAGCATCCACATGATGGCTAACAACCATCCTTAACTCCAGTTCCAGGGAATCTGACACCCTCTTCTGACGTCTGGGGACATTGCATGACACAGGTGTACTTACACACATGCAGGCAATACATTTATACACATAAAAAAAATAACATTTTTTAAAAAGAATTAAAAAAAAAGATTTTAGTACCATTCTTGAAAAACACACAAAGAAAATGTGAAAAATTACCAGTTTTTCCTGGAAATAACTTTGGACTTTACCTCTTAAGGCAAATATCAGTTTGACTTTAAATAGGAGGATTGTACTTTTTACTCCTGACCTGATAGTTTTACAATAAATAAAGAATCCACTAAACATAAAATTTCCATTCAAAAGTTTCATGTCATTGAATAATGGTAACCCCCAGCTATAACATTACTGTTGTTTCAGTGCTTGAAAAAAAAATCTTATTTGTGCTAAATATTTTCAACAATTCCCATTACTGACAGAATTATCTGAAATTGCAGAAGTTGTATCAACTGGCAATTGGCATGAAAAGAAAATAACCCTAAATTATTTTTGATCTTTCAAAGAATTTCTGAAGGTCAAGGTTGGACTCATTGGCAAGAATGTAAATGAACAAAATTTTGTGTCCTGTGGGAGCTGAAATGACACTGGTCTTGTAGCTCTGGAGTAGAAGAGAGCTGGCGTGCAAGAGCTCTGCCACCCCGTACCACCCATGTGCCACCACACCCCTGAAAGCCCTTTAACCGTGTCTATCCTTCCTTTTTATTAATGGTGCTGGGGCTAGAACCCATGCTAGGCACATAGTCTGCCATTGGGCTACACCTTTAGCCCTTTAAAATTATTTATACACATACATGTGTATTTTTCCCTCTAGACATTCTTTTTTTCTTCTGGTCTTTTTGAGACAGGATCTTCCTGTAGTCTCAGCTGGCCTTATATTTTCCCATTTTGTTTTATGGGTAACCTCAGACATTCAGGCAAAATCAGCAGACAAAACTGTCAACATATCTAAGAAACTTTTTGTGCCATACTTGGTACAAAGTACATTACTGAGAACTCTGGAACTCACTATGTAGACCAGGCTGGCCTTGAACTCACAGAGATCTGCCTGCTTCTGCCTCCGGAGTGCTGGGATTAAAGGCGTGTGCCACCAAACCCGGCTCCTCCAGACATTCTTTACTGACCCAGGTCAGGGCTGAAGCTGTTGAGGGCGCACTAGAAAACTGTTAAACTGCTAAGTCTTGCATCATTCAGGTTCCCATCGGCAATGTCAGCCACTGGCAAGACCAGGTGAAGCTTTTCACTGACCCATCAGTCCTGGAAAGCTAGTCCAGGTGCCAGGTCATGTCTGCACTAAAGCCTGCTCCATGGGGGTGGGCAAGGTGGATGTTAAGATTGACACTTGCGGCTACTTTATCTCTTCTCTAAATATGTGAGTGGTATTTTAAGCAGAGTGTGCTTATCCTGTCTCCAAAAGTGTCCTTCTGGAAAAGGACATCTTTGTATAACTTCATGAAAGATAATCTCAATTTACTTGGTACAAAGCACATTACTGAGTGACTGGGACTAAACTAGCACTGATGAGGCGTGTCAGCCACTAGATGTGGCTGGAAGACCTTGTCTGGTGAACATTGACACCTCTGCTCCCTAGCCCACCCTCAGCCTTCTAGATTACTCAGGTCCCTCTCTCTCACAGGAGCCATTATGAGAAGAGTAGCTATTTTGCCTCAACTATTGTAAGGCCTGACTTCTGGGGAAATAAGGCATCTCTGTGTCTCCTTTTTGAGATGCTTTCTTCCCTGTTGCCAAAGCCTAAAATTCCTTTAGTGGAGGCAGAAAGACAATTATTTAAAATAAAATGGTAGAGGTGGGAGGAATAGGATTATAACCAATCAATCCAGGCTCCTAAGAAGAAGTGTAGAGAGCCCTGTCTCTCTGGGAGTTTTTCCCCTTACAGGTGTGTTAGTTTATGGCCCTTGGGGTCTTTTAGTAGCATGCCTCCCTATATCACCTAATGCCACGGCCTTGCTGTCTTCCAGTTACTCGGGTGTCCGTCACAGAGGAAGTCTATTAGGCAGGTTGGGCAGGGACTGTTTTTCTTTCTGTTTCACTCCATAGGCTTCAAATCCAGTAATGTGCTCAAGCATTCAGAATGCAAATGATGAATGAAGAAATGCATGAGTGTTTTGGTCCCCAAAGAGAGACACGGCAGTAAAGGTGCTTAATTCAGATAGGAAATACTCTACATGTTCTTTCAGGAAAACCTCTTCCCCAGTCCCCAGCTCTCAATTTCCATTTTCTCGTGTAGTTTTCATCAAGGTCAAAGGTTAGTGGGACAGAGTCTTATAATAAACAGAGACAGACCAGTATGCTAAGTTTGGAACAGAGTAAATCAGTTTCAAGGCCATACTGACTGGTCAGATGAGGTTGTGGTTTTTCTTTGAAGATATTAGTGGATTTTTTTTTTTTAATTTTGGGGTTACGTACCAAAATTTCAAGATTGAATTCATTTCACAACTACATTGAACTGCCCAGTAACATGCTTTGGGGAATTTTATGTAGATCCTTAAGGTGTGTGAAGAATTATAATTTTCTGGCTATTTAATGATACACAACCTCTGAAATCAGAGCCTGAGACTGGAGCAAGAAAGGACATACTGTGTGGATTTTACATGTCTTACACATGTGGAATGCTTTCAGAGTCAAATGTTTAACAGAAATTGGCCACATGGGATGTTTCATGCAGGAAATGATGCTTCTGGTTGAGTCATCTACTGCATTTAGTTCAACCGGAAGTTGCTCACAATATTTATTCTGCTTCGGGTTGTTTGGAAGTTCTAGACTTCTGAACTCATCTTAAATAAATACAAATGTGGGGCTGGAGAGATGGCTCAGCAGTTAAGAACACTGACCGTTCTTGAAGAAGACCTGGGTGTGAATCCCAGCACCCACATGGCAGCTAACTACTGTCCATAACTCCAGTTCCAGGGGATCCGATGATCTCCTCTGTCCTCTGTGGGCATTGCAAGACACGGGTGCACTTACATACATGCATATACATAAAATAAATATAACAAAATTTAAATAAATAATTAAAGTGTGATAATTTACAGGTCACAAAGTTGAAATAACAGTTTAATCCAACTGCTTATATCTAACCTAATTCTTTCATTGACATTATCTTGTTAGAACCTGTAACCTGAGGCAAAAAAAAAAAAAAAAATTAAGAGGAAAGGAAAAAGAAAAATAATCCCGATCCTTTAAACCCGCAAAGGCTTTTTTTTTTTAACCCTAAGAAAACTCCACTAATCAATGGTTCAACTAAAAGAAAGGTCATTGTCTTCTCTGTGTGTGTCTGAATGGGGCATGCAGTCTTTTTTGATGAGCTAAGACTTTGTGCCACTTGGGTCCCATTGTCCTGCCCTCTCACTGCTTGGTTCTGATGGTGGATGCACTTCCCTGGGAGCCCCCTCTTGTGTGTCAGCAGAAACAGCCTGGTGGCTGACCATCAGTCAGGCTGAAGTTGATGATTCCTCTCAGTTATCTGCTCTGTAAGGCGAGACTTCCTCTCCTGCAGCAATGATCTAGGATCTCCTCATATTATGTACAGCTCAAATACTTGCATCTTTGGTACCATTTTAGTTCTGACCCAAAGTACCCACCTGGAACATGCTAATTTCTTATAGACTAAACCTCACATAGAAAAGATTTATGTAAGCTGTGATATATTTTAAAGTATTTTTTATTATGTAGTGGGGAACAGACTTCTGCCAGCCCTCCCTCACATCACCTACTGAATGCTTTTTAAAAACATATTGGCACTCCAATGAGCATTCCTCATCCAGCTTGACCCTGGGCCCCATCTAATACTAGCAACTCTCCCCAGAGATCTGACTCTGAGGAGTGCTGCCATCACCGTAAGTGAAACACTGGACTCTGCAGACGCAAAGGAAGCTAGCCTTTACTTGCTTCATACCCCCAGACCTCATATTTACACTCAAGTGAGCAGTGTTTACTATATAAACTCTGCAAAACAGCAGAAGTTCAAGGGACGAAAAATGAGTACGAGAAGAAAGAATGGTTTCAGAGGCACAACTAAATGTATCTTTGTGTGTGTGTGTGTGTGTGTGTGTGTGTGTGTGTATGTGTGTGTGTGTGTGTCTGTGTCTGTGTTGTGCTCTGCAGGGAAGACTTCCTGTACCAAAGGAAGTGAACCGCAAGAAGACTGAAGAGATGAGCGCTGCCTCCCTGACTCCGCCGGGCAGCAGTGACCTCCGCTCTCCAAACATCAGTTACCTCCACTCTTTTTAATCGTGTAACACCTCCATTTGTATTGCATATGGTGTATGGGTATTGATGAGGTCATGGTATCATATATGGGATATTTTTTTCTGTGTAAATCATCAAGTATAGGAAGAAATTATGGGACTCTAAGCCTTGCTTTAGAGAATTTACAGTGGACAAATAGGTATCATCAAACCAGTTTTTAATCATTCTGACTCAAGTGAAAACGCTCAGAATTTCACACTGTGAATCCATGTTTACAACCCCTACAGGTGGGCCTTCAGGCCTGGTTCGCTACAACAATGTCTTCCACAACTCAAACTCCCACTGAGCTCACACAACTGGTCCACTCCTGCCTTTTCATTCACACAGCTCCTGACTGGTTCTTGCAGAGGCTGAGAGTCCCCTCCCTCCCCCTTTTATTTTCATTTAGATGTAACAAGCCTAGTAGTTTTATGTTCATCGATTGTCTGTATATCTCTATATTTTATCCATGTACTCTTTTGATGTATAGAAGTAGTTTGAAACTCATTGTTTCCTTGTGGTAAGTGACTGAGATGCTGCCACAGGACCTGACACACTGATGAATGGTGCTATTTTGGACTTTCAACATGCTCCTTGGCGAGGTAGCTCTGATGGAGTTATTTTTTATTTCCATGTTCTAAGAAGGTGTTGGTACTCTGTTTCCCTGAATGTTGTTCTCTAGACTGGATTGACTTGTTTTCCTTGTGTCTTCAGTGTGGCTTTCTTCTTCAGTGTTGTAGGTTGAGAGAATGCTACCACGAGTGTGTGGTCTCCTTGGCCGGCCCCCATGGATGTGCAGCCACGGTAGCGGGAGCAATCACAAAACTGTAATTTACCTACCAAATCTTTTCCTTTCTGTAGCCTCACCTGCCTGACTTAGAGAAAAATAAGCAATAATTTTACAGGCATTTTGAGGTGTCTCTTTGGATTCTTTTTGTTTGGGTATTTTGGGGTCGTGGGAGGTCCACTCTTTTCTAATAAGTGCTCTGTGGAAAAATCCACAGCACTGGCATCTGAGTCAGAATTTGAAAATTATACCTTGCCCAAAGATTAAATCGGAAAATGTCTTTACAAAATAATAAATGGCGGAACACCCTTTTTTTTTTTTTTTTTTTTTTTTTTTTTTAGAAGCCCTGAGTGATATTGTTGAAATACATCTTCCAAAACAGGAAACTGTGTGA